TGACAAACGAAAACTAATATTGTTCATAAGCGACATCTTAATATGACAGCTGCTGATTTTTATTGACAAAAATCATTGGTTAATTTAAAGAGAGATAATTTTCTTTCTTCTTGTTGTTTCTAAATACAACTCATTTTAATTATGTCGACAACAAACAAGAAAAAAAGCTCATGCTCTTCCAAACATTCAATAAAAGAACATCATGATGAAACTACTGATGATAACAACAGAGAAAAGATAATCAATCGTGATGAAATTTCCATTGAAGAGGTATTTAATAGAAGTCTAAAAAATAGTCTCATGTAGAAAAATATTTCATTTTTCTATCAGTCTTCCAGTGAAACATAGTTTCTAATTTGAAACTTGTTCCTCGTTCAGATTCACACGGTCAACGATTGGGAACATGCTGATCTAGGAGATGAATTACGCAAACAAAAATTTCTTCGATTAATGGGTGCAAAGGTGATATAGAAGAAAATAAAAACACTAAATCAAAAAAGAAAATACACAATAAAATTTTATTTTTAGAAACGTAAAGATGAAAGTCGAACAGATCTCAAAGATTCGTCTAGCATAAATCATAACGATACTCTGTCATCTGAAAAGAAACATTGTCGTTCAAGTTAGTTTAACTTTATTTTACTATTATATACATTACAGTACAACAAACCTATTTAATATATATTTAGAAACAGAAAATGAAGCAATTAATCTCGATTTAGAAAAACAATTTAATGAAAGTTTACAATCAAAAATATTATATACACATCATGAAGGTCTTGGCTTTCATGGTAGTGATACTAGTACTGCTTCCAGTTCAAATGATTGGCATCATCAACAAGTGAAAACGAAATTTGTTCTAGCTACAACAACAGAAACTGGAGCATCATTATTGGATGAAATAATACCTAAAGAATTACAAGATGTGAAAAATAAATCGAAATCATAAACAATGTACTTCTCTTGTTAATTTTTCTAATTGTGCAAATAACAATAATATAAGATTTAGACATAGACTGATATTGAATTTATTATTTACTAATCGACTTCTCTATAACT